ACAAAAAGAATCTTATGTTGAGTTTATTTGAATAAGTTTTATAGAAACAATAAAATGCAATATAATTTCAACCGGAATTGTTTGTTTAAATACAACTAAAGTTTTGTTTGGTTCAATGCAAACAATTTTCTGTCCGTGTATAAGGAGATTTCTATCCGTGTATAGACGTAAACTTGAAGAACTACAATGGTAAACATTTGCTGCGTCGCGGCCATCGGTCTTCTCGTTCATTTACCCGCAGATTGCTTCTTCCGATGAAGTGCCGAATATGTCGATAAATAATATAAACATTGCCATCTGTCACCTGGTGTGTCTTGAACTCTCTTCAACCAGCGATACAAATCGATATCAAGGAGATTATAAATGTGCATCGATGGAAATCTTTGTTGTTCTTTGTCAAAGTTCAAAGTTATGATGATATCAGTAAAGGGTGTCCACGATGAAATTGCCACACTATGAAATTGCTCTAACTTTTTAACCGTTGGGTATTTTTTTTTTTCCTTTGGTTTGTTTTTTCCGTCGATCTTGTTTTCCGTGCTGAGCACCAATGCTACCGACGTGCCAGGAAGGCAGCTCCCACACCTGGACCCTACCTATCGACCCATCAACTCATGAACCGGGGACCAACGGCTTTACTTCCCATCCGAAGGAAGGCGTGATCAGAGATGTTATGCCTCAGAACATCCCGGCGGCGCCGACTGGTATTGAACCCAGCCCTGCTGGGGTGAGAGGTAATCACGCTTACCACTACACCACCGGCGCCGTTAACCGTTGGGTAGAATTTAATGAAAATTTGGGTGGATTTAGTTCATAGTACATTATTTACATCCTGCAAGTTTTAAAGTCCTGTGATCAAAACTCGCGGAAATGGAGTCGAAAGAACAGCTCGTGCGTGATAAAATCTTGCGCATTCATCACGACAACAAGGATCTCTCGCATCGTTCCATCGCTAAAACGTTGGGAATCGCGAATTCCACGGTGTCGCGAGTGCGGTTCGAGGAACGGTTGACCACCGATCGGAAGCCCAGAAGTGAAGGAAAAAGTATTCCGTACAACATCAAAAATCACAACCGCGTAGTTGGGGCCTTCAACCGAAATCCGAACGCCTCCGTTAGGGATGTGGCTAAGAAGCTGCACCTAAGCCGAAGTTTTGTCCAGAAGGCCAAAACTAAGGCTGGCCTTCGAACGTTCAAGGTACAAAAGGCCCCTAATCGCGACGAGAAGCAGAACAAGTCCGCCAAAACCCGTGCCAGGAAGTTGTACCTCAACATGCTGACGAAAGTTGAATGCTGCATCATGGACGACGAAACATATGTGAAGGCCGACTTCAAACAGATCCCCGGCAACCTGTTTTTCACGGCCAAGGATAAGTTCAGCGTTCCGGAGCATGTCCGCACTCAGAAGATGTCCAAATTTGCGAAGAAATTCCTGGTTTGGCAAGCCATCTGCACGTGCGGGAAGCGGAGTGCACAGGTGTACATAAAAGAGTGCCTCCAGAAGCGGCTGCTTCCTCTCCTTAAGGCCTACAACGTCCCAACAATCTTCTGGCCGGATTTGGCCTCATGCCACTACTCCAAGGACGTGCTGAAGTGGTATGCGGACAATAAGGTCAATTTCGTGCCGAAAATGTTCAACCCTCCCAACACTCCGGAGCTCCGCCCCATCGAGAAGTACTGGGCGATTATGAAGCAGCACCTTCTTAAACGACCTAAGGTAGTGAAGACAGTCGAGGAACTGAAGAAAGTATGGGTTTACATGCAAAAAACGGTTGATTCACAGGTTGTGCAGAATCTTATGGCCGGGGTTAAGGCCAAGATGAGTGAAAAGAACTTAATTTTGGGTAATTTTTCGGTTTCGTGTTGAATATAAATCAAAACAAAAACCCTCCCCGCAACTGAAAATACCGTCGAGTGGATTTGACTTGGTCTACGTGAGAACGTCGTTTACTCAAAAGTGAGTCAAAATAATGCTACACGAAACGAAAATCAATTATTTTATTCATGTGTTTCACGTATACATTTTTACCAAAACATCAGCCTTTTACATTCCATAAGACAAACCACATAGGTCCTATAAGTATGGATAAAAGGTATGTGTGACCGCTTATACATTTCATTTGACACATGGTCTTCATTAGCTTTTTGCAAGGCGTCTGCTTATTAGTTGACTTATACATTTTATGAATAATCAGCAATAGAAATTTGCCAAAAGGTATTATCGTTTCAGTAGAAAACCGGAAAATCCCACACGCGCCAATTGAATTTACTCTCGTTCTGTACGTTAAACATAACGTCGGACATAGTGCGCTGTATTCACACAATGATGCGCTATTCAGCGCACTATGTCCGACGTTATGTTTAACGTACAGAACGAGGGTAAAATCGAATGTCGCGTGTGGGATTTTCCGATGTCCAACTTGAACGACAGTACACTCAAAACATATTGAAACCTAAATAGTATAAAAGTTACGCTAAATCGCAACTCTCCTGACCGACGCATAGCTTGGTATAAAGAGGGAGAATGCATGCTTAGTATAAAAATGATTTATTCATTGAATAGTATAAAGTTGTAGTTATTTTTAGGATGTATAAAGTCCGTTTATTTGTCAGGATGCGTTTTTGATTGATTTTTATGTCGTGACTGATAATAAATAAAAGTAAACAGCACTAATGCAGTTATATTTTTATTGTCATAAGTTAAGATAACATATAAATTGTCTTGCAGCTGCGTCGTGATGAAAGTTCTCAACCGTACTCCAGTTTCCGTTCCATTTGACAATTATGAACTAAGTGCAGAGAGATGTCCTCCTATCGGAAGTGCAGTTCATCCATGGTGTCGAAAGGTTGAATGCTAGCCGCCCAAGGTGCTGAAATGTGGAACAGATATCAGTAATTAACGATCTATGAAGAATCAAACCCTTTGATATAGACCTACCTCATACTCGCACGATAGATTGACCTTCAGACCGATTGTTGTAATGACATGGTGATTGCTCTACGTAACCTTTGCGCATACGGGCGTTCTCGGATTTACTCCGACCAGCAGCTCCAGATCAGATTCTTCACAGGAATTCATCAAATCCTGTAATGAAAATTATGTGGACCATTTAGGGACGGAAAAGAATATTGTTTTTATTTTTAAAACTATGTTTTATTACATAACCTGTTGGTTGAAAGTGTCTATCAATTATATTGGTTCATATTAGACCACTAAACTACCGACGAAATCAAAATTGACGTGAAAAAAAAATAAAGACTCGATCGAAAACCATTATGAGCGTCCTCGAAATATTTACCTTAATACAAAGTGAACGATTTCTACGCCTCTATTCCGACTTAGTATAATTCTTAAACCAAATTATAATCAAATCAATGTTTAAAAATTGATAAATCATAAAATGATTAATTTTTAACCTTTCTATGATTAGTAATATTTTTGAGTGATATAAGGAGATTTCTGTCCGTGTACATACTCAATTTTGAGTAGCTCTACTTGCCGCTGAGATAAGTACATTCGACTCAATTTTGAGTTGACCAGAATAAGCGCGAGTGCTGCTTGTTCGCAACATTTTCTTCAAGGGGGGGGGGGGGGAGGTGACTGTCAAATACGAACAATCGTCGCCTACCTCGCATAACTGGTTCCAAACGTAAACAAGCCATAAGAAACCCACAGGGTTTGTTTACGTTTGGAACCAATTTCATACAAGAGCACATCTCACCCCAGATTTTCTCTTGGCGGGACTATTATTATAGAGATAGCTAAAGTATGATTGTGTCAGTGATTTGATCATCGGGAAAATTTTCTATGAAGTTTTTTTCCCGATGAAAACATTTTGCGTATACGTATACGTGACGTAGTGTGCGCACCGACAAACCGACATGAAACTTAAGCTTAACTCTTGATCGAGAATCCATAACGGCATATTCAAATGTGCAGCGATCCCATCTGTCAAAACCATCGAAATTTTCTATCTACTGTGTTACCTGACCTATAACGAATATACGTTGTATACGAGTACCCCGAATACAACGTATAGTTCGTCTAATTTTACATTGCAAGTGCTATGCAAAATTAGACGAGTCATACGTTGTATTCGGGGTACTCGTATACAACGTATATTCGTTATAAGTCAGGTAACACAGTAGATATAAATAATTAGCCCTAGATAAAAATAATTAGATTAGACACGAACCAACTCATACATTTTGCATGCGTGTTCGTGGCTAGGAAACCTATTTTTCGCGAACACGGCCGTAGATGTCAGTTTTGTGCTTTGATCAGAAATTTGATGGTATACTCTGTATGGTCATTAATGTTGGTTTGTCGGTGGTGTGCGTACGATAAACGTCAGCAATCTCTATAGAGTTCTCCAGATGCACAAAAGTGTGCGTGAGACCGCGCGCTACCTTTTTAAGTAGTTGTGATATCGCGATACCTTTTTGTTTCTTCTTCTTCTTTATTTTTATGTATGGATGTTGGATTTTAGTGTTCGTGAGATTGCGCTTGGAGATCTCTATAGAGTTCTCCAGATGCACAAAAGTGTGCGTGAGACCGCGCGCTACCTTTTTAAGTAGTTGTGATATCGCGATACCTTTTTGGTTCTTCTTCTTCTTTATTTTTATGTATGGATGTTGGATTTTAGTGTTCGTGAGATTGCGCTTGGAGATCTCTATAACGACTTCTGTCTCCACCGAGTCCCTCGTTTTTCGCGCAGTTTTCGCTATAATCCAACGACACTGGCAGCACTGCATCAATTACGTAACAACAAATATCAAAACGAAACGTCATTGTTTTCCTTTAGTAGTTGACAGCTCGTGTGAGGCCTTTTTTCCAAGGGGGGGAGGTGGCTGTCAAATACGAACAATCGTCGCCTACCTCGCATAACTGGTTCCAAACGTAAACAAGCCATAAGAAACCTACAGCGTTTGTTTACGTTTGGAACCAGTTTCATACAAGATGATCAGTAGGCTGATTTGACAGCACATCCCCCCCCAGCTTTTTTCACGCGATTCGTGTTTTTCGGTTCGTAGTGCGTTATCTTTTGCGTAATCGATGCAGATTTTTCATCACGGAATATAAGTTAGAAAAGTCGGATATAAACCTTAGATATCCAGGAGTAATTTGTTTAACTTGTGCTTGTTACCTAAAGTGAAAAATCGATATGGGAAACGTGCTCGCTGCTTCAAAACCGATCGCTGCCGGCGGTCTGCCACCTCCTATACTAGCGGAACCTACCCCTGCCAGTGCCGAACCTGAGAAACCTTTAGAGAATCCTGGTTCTATGGAAGAGCTACATAAAAAGTGCAAAGATGTTATGCCCGCCAATTTCGAGGGAGCCAAATTGATGATCAACAAAGGCCTCAGTAATCACTTCCAAGTGTCGCATACCATTAACCTCAACTCGTCCAACACGAGCGGATACCGATTCGGAGCGACCTATGTGGGCACGAAACAGATGTCTCCCTCAGAAGCTTTTCCGGTTATACTGGGTGACATCGATCCGGCTGGGAACTTAAATGCCAACCTCATTCACCAGCTGACACCGAACGTGCGGTGCAAGTTTGCTTCCCAAGTTCAAAACCAGAAAGTCACTGCCGCACAGTTGACCACGGACTACAAGGGTCAGGACTTTACTGCATCGCTCACCGTTGGCAATCCCAACATCATCAACAATTCCGGCGTGCTAGTGGGTCATTATTTGCAAGCGGTAAGTTCGTAGCATAGATGTAAAATTGAAAGTAATGGATGAGATTGATTTAGCTACCACAAGAGTATATTTTCTAAGGCTCGTGGGCATGTTTTCAAGTTACAGCTATGTTCTTACAACTAGTCAAGTTGAAAGATGAAGATGAAATGATGAGTGTATAATTCACCTGATTCAAAAACTTTATGACTGTCAACAACATTATCCTTTGAGCAGGACAAATAAGTTGTTGAACTTTCTAAGCTGACACATACCAGTTCTACATTTATATAAAGAAGATAAATGACAAGTAATAATAATTTTCTATGTGCCCAGGAAAATCAAGAAGATCCTCAACCAGGCAGTCCTAGAGCACGTCTACTACATTTATGATGTGTTTTCATCATTCACATGCCTACGTATAACATAATGTATCTTAGATATTTTTAATACGAAATCCACCTTTCGTTCTTGTTTTATTTTTCATAATATATTATGCGTTGCAATCGCCCAGAACAACTCGATTCTTAATTGCACAATGGAAATCATGTTACAAATAAGTTGAATAAAAATGTAGATAAGGTAAACGCACCTATAGCGCAATGTGATCCTATAGTGGTTTATGGAGTCTCCATAAGCATTGTATTAACTTACCTAGGTGCGCAAAATCCAGTAAAGCAAAATTATTCAAGACGAACAATGAATTAGGTCCTGAGTAACATTGATCGATTCGCTTCATTGACTTTCTCTTTCGTTTAACTTGGATTTAAACCTGTTTCTTGACGTATTAATTGTATTTGAGGCTAGATAATAGTTTATTTAATCGAACTGTGTGTTAAAAAAATTGTTTAACTTCATTTTTTTACCGTCGGACTTATACACCGGGGACCAATGGCTTTACTTTCCTTTACGGTTGGTTGGTTGGTTGGTTGGTTGTTCGGCTTAGATTTTGAAATTTGAACGACCCTTATCCACGTTTTTACTGCTCTGCTGCCGATTCAATACCTTCAACAGGTCAGCTTCCTGCCTGCTATAGGGTAACATAAGGCAAGCATGCTTGGCATACACAGTTTTCGCAACGAACTGCTCATTTGCTAATAACATTACACACAGTTGACGAAACAAAGTTCTTTTTGAAGCAGTAGATATAATAAAGTTAAAGGTTTCTAGTAAGTAAAAGTAAAGTATTCTAGTAATAAACTGCATTTGTTTTTGCGTTGTAAAAATTAAGTGCAAAATGCTCGCTGCACATCTCGGACTTTAAGTGTAAAAAATCATTGGTGTTGAAATGTTAAGATTTACATACTCTTTGCATATCTATTATGGTCTTTAAAGAAAAACAAATTTCAACAACTGGGTGGAAAGTTATTAACAAATGAGCAGTTGTTGTGTACAACTGTGCATGCCAAGCATGAAGGCAAGATGGGTCACCGAGTACATTTCTAGATAGAGCTGGAATTAGGGCGTAACAGCCTTTGTAAACAATGACTTTTAAAAATGATTTCCAGGAACTCAAGGCATGCCCACGTAAACCATCATAACCATCGGGTAGGAGAAATCGTCCCCTACCCGATGGTGTTGTTGAGTTGCGTTGGCGAGCCTTAAGGCCGGCGCACAATGCATACGTTTTCGGGTTTTTTGACAGATAATGCATGGACTAGCTGTCAAAAAACCTGAAAACGTATCTATTGTGCGCCGGCCTTTAACTTTCTAGAAATCATCGAAAGAAGTTATTGTTTACTAAAGCTGTTACGCCCTAATTCCAGCTCTATCTAGATTTATTAATTTGTTTGTGTGTCAATATTAACAGGTCCAACGCAATCCCGATGATAGTTTGCTTTTTCAAACCAATATCATTTTCCCACATTGCATATAAATGCAGAGAAAAATCAAGGCCTACTTAGATCAAATTTACGAAGCAATACATGTTACAGATGTTCCAGATCTTCCGAGGGGGCATCTGGTGGTCACTTAGAAGCAATTACCAGCTAATATTAAAAAATTACCATTTTACTGCATTCCATAAGGTATCAGGACAAATCAAGGCCCATACTTTGATCAAATTTACACAGCAATCAATTTTACAGATTTTCTGAATTTTCAGGCGGACCATCTGGTAACCACTGGGAGCCAATGATCAGCTTATGTGTCAAAATCACAATTTTTTTCATACCATGAGTCTACTTCGATCAAATTTACACAGTACACTGAAATCTTTTTTACACGGTTTTTACACGCGGTTTTTTTTACACGGTTATCTTTACACGTTTTTTTGCGATTTACACGGTACGTCTGAATTTTCAGGCGGACCATCTGGTAACCACTGGGAGCCAATGATCAGCTTATGTGTCAAAATCACAATTTTTTTCATACCATGAGTCTACTTCGATCAAATTTACACAGTACACTGAAATCTTTTTTACACGGTTTTTTTACGCGGTTTTTTTTACACGGTTATCTTTACACGTTTTTTTGCGATTTACACGGTACGTTTTTAACGATTTCTCGACAACGATACAACCTATCGACTTGATTCCAATAACATTATCCGTTTCAAGCTATAGGTAATCGAATGACATACTTAGAAAAAAATCACAATTTTTGGTGTAAATACAGAATTTTTTTAAAAATAGAAGGGTCTGTGCCTAGGGGCACGAACGGAAGCTTGACGTAGGACCGCTAGTGGACGGAACAAATGTGAACATTTAGTTCTTTTAATTGATCAATTATCAATTATCTGAACGTTTTTTATTTGTAAGCGTATCAAATTTGTAGTATTTATTTCAAAGATAAAGTTGATGAAGAGAATTCAAGGGACTGTCAACTTGAGTATTTTCGATTCATTGACCCGACTTTAAAAAAGGTGTATTTTGATTTTTTTGTTATTTATGAATTTTTAAGTTTTGTGCATTTTGGTATTAAAGAGTATTCAATTAACCCCTCACAGGATTTCCTTCCGAATTATATGAATGGGGCGGGGCGGAAAGTATCGTTTGTGCAGAATATGTAAAAAATGAGGGACCTCGAGAGATTGAACTCGTGAGAGCTAATTTTCTCACAAATTTGATTTTATTTGCTTTCTGGGGACTGAATATACACCCAAAGCGAATTATTCCCACTTCTCTCAAATTATATATGGATTTTTAACACTTCCTACCAGCGTGTTCTGGAAAATGGTCGGACGATGATTAATCTCACCAATACATTCGGGTCTACAATTCCACACCTTCTATAGAGACCAGGTTGAGCCTTGATAGCTAGCTGCTTGCGGGAACTGATGACCTTGACAAATGTCCAAATAATACTCTCAACAAATTTATGGTGGTCCTGAAAAGGACCGTTTTGTAATGATGGTTGGGTAATGCTGAGCTGAGCACGACGAGCTACTGATTCCGATCCTAGCCTAGCGGTGGGACTTCTTCCTCCTTTTTGTTTGATTTTATTTATTTGTAAGGTTGCCGGGAAATACCAGCTGGCGATTTGTTATTTTATGATAACTCTTTACTTGAAAACAGGCAAAAACTCATAAACAGGCTCCTTTTCATGGTATACAGTGTGATAATTCAATAATCCATAAATTATCTCAACATTTAGTGGCAAACCATTCATAAATTTTGGTAGAATACAAAAAATTCTATAATCCACATTAAATTTCATATGTAAGCGCCGATTGAAACAATCTTTTCGACGTCACTACAAGGGTGATTGATTAAACGAAAGAAACGAATCGTGCGGAATGAAAGCCGAGGAAAAACTAATTGCACCAATATATTCAGGCCTACAATTCCACACCTTCTATAGACAGGTTGAGCCTTGATAACTAGCTGCTTACTGGAACTGGTGACCTTGACCAATGCCCAAATAATACTCTTTAACAAATTTTTGGTGGCCCTGAAAAGGACCGTTTTGTAATGATGGTTGAGTAATTCTGAGCTGGGTGTTCAACACGGATGAGGCTGTCGAGCTGTATGTCGTTTGGAGCGAGGGTGATAGCATAGCGGTGCAGCTTCTTCCTCCTTTGCGTATGTAGGCTCTGCAGCGAGCTTGCAAGCAGCCTTTCGTTGTTACTGGAGAACAATTTTCAACGCCACACGCCGAAAGCACTGTTACCAACAATCAATACGAAACTATCGATTTTAAATTGGCTCACTACTTGACTAGCCTATTGGTCTCAAGCAAATCGATTAACGTACCCCATTCTAGTCGACATTCTAGTACTACACAATGTTTGTTTTGATTTGCTATGAAAGTTTGACAGATAAAATTAGGGGTTCGTGGATTTTCCTATGTTTCGAGGGGTGCATCGATTTGCTTGGGACCGAAGACAGTACCAGAGCTGAGCCAAAAAGTTGAGCACGTTTCTTCGGGACCTACTAGTCTTAGAGTTACCTCTATGCTGCTACCATAGAGATAACTCTAAGACCACTGGGTCCCGAAGAAAATCATTATTATTTTTGGCTCACTCAGTACCAGAACAACGGTCCCAAGCAGTCCCAAGCTATTTCACTCACCCCTGCATGTTCTGCATGAATCCACACACCCCTGATGTTATCTGTCAAACTTTCATAGGAATCAAAACAAACATAGTGTAGTAATAGAATTTCAACTAGAATAGGGTACGTTAATCGTTTGCTTGGGACCAATAGGCTACTAAAGTGGTGAGCCAATTTAAAATCGTTAGTTTCGTATTGATTGTTGCTGCTACTGCTGCTATTAATTTCGACGACCGAACACCACCACACAGTGGTGTGGTCGTTGGGAGCGTGTGGTTCTGAGTATGGCGATGAGTGTGCAAAATATTACGCAATTCCACGTAATTGGTGGATTTGTTAGTTAATTCAACGCTTTTGGACAATGCTGGACATTTACCAGTTTTTTCAATAGTTTTTTTTTTTTTGTTGAAAATCAACATTTAGAAGCATTGTTATCGATGCGTAGCCATATTTCTGATCGATTGGTGATAAAGTTATTGAAATTGGACCAGGGGCAGTTGAGTTAGTAACGTTCAAAATCTTTCTTAATTT